CTGAGAACCAGTTGTCAAAAAATGAAGAGTTTGTCAGCGAACGAAAAATATTCGATAAACGGACGATTGAATTACGGACGATTGACGCTGCAACATTGTTATTTATTTATTTATTTTAGTATTATTTTATCATTATACACCAAAGCGAAAGCTTGTGTGACAACTGACGATTAACTAAAACGTGTCAAACATGCAGTGATATTCTACTCATTGAGGGTTTTGTTATACAACATTTTGTGAAATGGACTCCGTGTGTAAATAAAGTTTTACTAATAATAACATTTTGAAGCACATGTTTCATTAGGCCGACGCTACAAATCGTTATGTTCTTTAGTATTATTTTATACATTATGCACTAAAGCGAAAGCTTGTGTGGCAATTGACTAAACGTGTCAATCTACTCATTGAGGATTTTGTTATACAACATTTAAAATATCTCCCCCTAATAAAACACCAATCAAGCCTCACATCATACTAATGGTAGAATCCTAGATGTTCTATATCTCTGTGTGTTACACTGTCTTTAAACTTAAAGTGTCATGTCATTGCAATTGCCTTGTTCTTGTTGGCTCGCAAGATCCATGGCCCCTGTGGTTGCAAGTTGTGTTAATTCTTCATCAGCAGGACGTCTCGAGGTCGCTGCGGACGACCGTAATACATGATATAACCACGCCATTGCGAAGATCACAAGAAGAAAAATTGGTGCACCTATGCTGACTACGAGTTGCCAGTCGCGTTTACGTTCTGTATCGCAATTTCGTGTTTTACATATTTTATCGTCATCACAACATTGTCCGGTAGAACAATCATGATATGAGTTGCACGGTTGTCCAATACAATTCGCCAAACACTGTTTGTCATTAGAACCGCAACAATGTCCATTAGAACAGTCGCCATCTGAGAAACACAAATCTCCTTCAACACGAGTACCCGCACACGTTTTGTGTTCATAATCACAATATTCACCTGATGCGCAGTGGCGATCAGATATACACAACATTCCAATACAAGATCTAGCACATTGGCGATTAGGAGCTCCATCGAGACCACAGCAGAATCCGCCCAATAGGCAGTCTCTATCAGAGGTACAAGAAGGACAATTTAAGGAACATTTTCCGTCACAGCAAGATTCGCCTCGCGATTGTGCGCAGAATGTACTGGAGGTACACCAAGCTTGTACTTGTGAAAACAGAACAAGAAATATCACGCAAAAATACGAAGTCTTTTTTATACACGCCATTCATTGCGGTTCGAAGCTTGCGAGGGAGTAATACGAAATTGAAATGAACTTGCCAACATCTACGTTCAAATGCACGTAGGTTATTATAGCGTCTGTTACAACGTACTTGCTATTGCGTTTCTGATTCGCCGTTTTACATCATGTAGTTCTTTGATACAAATGTAATGTTATATACCTGGCTATTCTTGCACTACCTTGGTGCTAAAATCTGTATAAATATCAGGGGCCGGTTGTATAAAAACGTAGTTAGCGCTAACTGCAGTTAAAAGGTAGTTAACTCTTTTTCGTTCGCTGCTGAAATAACCAGGGGCCGTTGTATAAAACTCTTAATCACTTTTTTAATCACTATTTTGTAGTTAAATAGTGATTAACTCTCAAATACGCGCTTTTTATTGGATGACGTTTCCACTAACTATAGTTAACTTTAATCACTTTTTTATACAATCGGCCCCAGCACTGATGTAGATCTGGGCTTACGGATTGAAAGCTTTGCAGTATAATTGTTGATGTTTTCTACATGCCAAAACATTATCGCCTTGCAAACTCACAAAGAACTTTTTTGTCATATTTGTGCAATCTTGTGTAAAAAAATCTAAAAAAAAAAACATAACTATTCAAACTTTAGACAATGAATTTTTGGCATAACGCAATTGGCCTCTGCGAATTACTCAACCCAACTGTTGAAGTATTTAAAATAAGCAAAAGTTTTAAAAGAATTGTGCTCAGTAATGTTGGCTCAGCACAAAAGCGTAGCTCGTCGTACACTCTTTGGAGTATTCCGAGGTCTCGATTGACTACTTGTGTATTATGTTAATTTGCTGCCCACATAATTGCTGTTCTCGACTGTATGTATTCGTGCATACAATACGATACATAATACAGATAACATATATGCCTATAAGTTATTGGCTTGATTTGCACAGTACAACTCAAGTTGTAAGCAGTTTGCATGCGACAGTTTTCGGCAAAAGTTTTGTAGTGTAAATCTGCCTTCAGTATAAATGTTCTGGCTTCAAGATTATAAATTGGAGTTTTCCGAGGTCTCGATCAACTACGCGTGTAAGTTCTGTTAATTTGCTGCCCACATAATTGCTGTGCACATACATGCCTAAGTTATTGGCTGTCGAAGAGTGAGAGACAAGCAGGGCATTCGCTAAGGAGGGGTTAGGGTGCGTGTGGGGTTACTTGGGGGGGGGGGGGTTACCCATGAAAACCAGCTGTCGAAAAATGAAGAGTTTGTCAGCGAACGAAAAATATTCGATAAACGGACGATTGAATTAATTGAGACGCTGCAACATTGTTATTTATTTATTTTAGTATTATTTTATACATTATACACTAAAACGAAAACTTGTGTGACGATTAACTAAACGCGTCAATCTACTCATTGAGCACGAAGGTTTTGTTATACAACATTTAAGATAATAAAACACCAACCAAGCTCACGCCATGCTAATTGTAGAATCCTAGATGTTCTATATCTCTGTGTGTTCCATTGTCTTTAAACTTAAAGTGTAATGTCATTGCAATTGCCCTGTTCTTGTTGGTTCGCAAGATCGATAGCCCTTGTGGTTGCAAGTTGTGTTACAGTTGATTTCACGAAACTTTGGCCGCGCCAGTTGCGAGGTTGGTTGGGAATTTGGGACTACTATAAACACGAGATCATCAAGTTGATTGGAAACCGGCCAGTCAAATTCGGAAGTTTCGCATCAAATTATCGAAATTCGTTATGAAATTCCGCACCAAGTTCGCAAGCAAGTTCGCAAATTAATTGCAAACGTTTCTGGCGGTAAATTTAAAAAACTAAACTTATATTGTATTAAACTTATTCATTTAATAATAAATAATATCATTAAAGTTATAATAAGTTTAATACAATAAGTTTAGTTTCTAAAATTTACCGCCAGAATCGTTTGCAATTTGCGAACTTGCTTGCGAACTTGGTTCGGAATTTCATAACGAATTTCGATCATTTGATGCGAAACTTCCGAATTTGATTGGCCGCGGGTTTCCAATCAACTTGATGATCTCGTGTTTATAGTTCACAAATTCCCAATTCTTCATCAGCAGGGCGTCTTGAGATTCCTAGCTGCTGACGACCACATGATATAACCATGCTATTGCGATAATGACAATGACAGTAACTGGGATACCCACGCTGACTACGAGTTTCCAACGACGTTTACTTTCTCTATCGCAATTTCGTGTTGATTTACATTTTTTATCGTCGTCACAACATTGTCCGGTAGAGCAGTCATCGACAGAGTTGCACGGTTGCCCGATACAAGTTGTAAAACACCTTTTAATTTTCCGCGTCTCATTAAAAACGCAACAAAGCCCATGACAACAGTCGACATCTGAGAAACACAAATTTCTTGGAACATGAGTGCTGAAACATTTTTTCTCGTCGCCATCACAATATTCACCCGATGCGCAGTGGTTTACCCTTGTACACGATTTCCTAACACAAGATCTAGCACACTTGCCAATAGCACTTTGACCACGATCACAACAAGATTCATCTGATCCGCAGTGGTTATCATCTTCACACGGTTCTCCAATACAAGATCTAGCACATTTGCCAATAGTGCTTTGACCACGATCACAACAATATTCTCCTGATGCGCAATGGAAAGCCCATGCAAAAACTATCACACAAACACGTGAAGTCGCCTCTATACACACCATTCTTTGCGGTTCGAAGCTTGCGAGGGAATAATACGAAAATGAAATATAGCTGTCGTCTGTCTCAACGACGTCGCCGATTAAAAGGACCAGATGTCCGCGCATAATTATATGCACATAATTTGTCAATGAATATCAGACATCGTAGAAAGTACAAGAGAATACATCGTACATTGTCGAAAATGACTTCAAATTATACCTCAGCAAAGTGGCATTTTCATTTCGCCCATAGTTTCCACTCCTACGACGATCTTAAAAGAGAAAAATTCGTAAAATATTGCAAACTACATGTGATGAACTCACTTTTCCAATACGCGTACTGACGTCGAACGTTTTAAACACAAATTTAACCACACAATCCCTCTCTCGGGCAAATAAAAAGATAGACTTCATGACTTAGATTCTTGCACTTCACTTGGTGGAATTAATATTACAAACCCTAACATTCACTTGGATTACAAACCCTAACATTCAAATAAAAAGATAGGCCGTTTGCTGTGACCTCGAAAAGTGCCTAGAAAACGATTTTCATTAAGCATGTCTTGGAACTGAAATATTTTTATGAGAACTAACACTTTCGAACACGTTGAGTTCAAATCCGAAAACTTCCCGCACCGTATAGACCCGCAGTTTTCTCACAGACAGTGGCCCGGTTGTATGTACTATTTACAACATGAGCGGCCGTGTTGTATCGGATATATGTATATCCGATACAACACGGACGCGAATGTTGTAAATGGCTTAAAAAAAACGACTCATCTTATCGAGTTCATTGGCGAAGTAATTTTAAAAATAAACGTTGTCTATGCCGAGAAAATCAAAGTTAAGGTTTATGTAAATCAACATGAATCTGTATCACATATACAGACTCATCACGCCCGTGATTTCTTTTGTATTTTCTTTATGAATTATTAATGTTAGAGTTTATAAATTACATAACTCAGAAAAGGCGGACCTTTACTCATCAATTTCACCACAAAATCGGGGACCCTATTGGTGAATAATCTAACATGAGGAAAATTTTTAAAGATTTGCCCACACAGTGAGATCGTCTCAAAATAAAAGCGGATAGCTCATTGTACACTACTTGAAGTTCTCCAGGTTTTTTATTGACACGCTGCCGTAGGTTATCTCAATTTGCTGCCCACATAATTGCTGTGCGTTAATATGCATACATAACACAGTGAGGCGGGGGGGGGGGCTGTTTCCTGTTGGGGGGGGGTGACACCCCTCTGAAAACCAGTTATCGGAAAATGAAGGATTTGAAAAAGAACACATGAACATATTATTGTTGTTGAAGTAAAGCGTATTGTCAAGTAAGATTCTCCTCAGAGCAAAGATATGTCCAATTCCAAAATTACATGTGATTGAGTACGTACGGTAGTCAATTTGGGATGATCACACCAAGAGACCGCGGCCTTTTGTTATGTTATGTCATGGAATTATGCAATCCATTTTCCTCTTGTAGTAGTGTAATAGAAATTTTATAGAGAAAAGATTAAAATATTTTGTATGTAATTACATAACAAAACTCAAAATTAGCCTGCTAAAATTAGCCTGCTAAAATTTCAAAATTTCAAAGTTTCAAAATTAGCCTGCTAAAATTAACTATATTTATACTGGATAGCTCTATCAGTTCTAAACTATTCTTCCTAAAGGTCCAGTAAGGATCATCTCTTATTGAGCTTAGAGCTGATAGAATTATCCAGTATAAATAAAGTTAGTTTATTTGTATATCAGTACAATAGAAAGCATTCATGCGAATTCGCCCTCAGGAAAGTCATTCAATTTTAGATCATTCAAGATCATTCTCTGCTGGAGACTTTGCCAACGTAACAAGTTTTTTGCTTTAAATAATTACGAAACAAATATCGTGTTAAGTTAAAAAACGTCGTTTGTTCGCTAAAGGAATATTGAAGACATAATTTCGTTTGAATATCACGAAAATATATCAAGTCAAGCAATGAAATGTTTCTAACGGGAAACAATAAGGAAATATTAGCGAAATTTTCAGACAACAATATTGACAAGGTAATGCGGTGTTATTTAAAGCTTCACATTTTTGGTATATTTTAATTTGTGTTATGATATTATGATCTGATATTGTCTGCATCATGTAACAAGTTGTTAACAAGTTGATGACAACAAGCTCGTAGCAACTTGTTACGAACAGCCTGTATTAGTCTTGTTGGAACAACTTGTAGCAAGTCCCTTACCGTCATCAACCTTGTAACAAGATGATAACAACTTGTTCCAGACTTGTCACAACAACTGGGAACAAGCAGTGCGAACACATCCTGATATCGAATTCACAACAACATTGTTACAACTTGTTTGCAGTCTGTAAGAACTTTTTGGTGTAAGTAGTATTCTACAATAAGCTGTCGTGGTTTGTGTCTGAACTACCTGAAAAAGATATCTCAAACGTGGTGGTCCAGTGTAGGTAGTATTCTACAATAAGCTGTCGTGGTTTGTGTCTGAACTACCTGAAAAAGATATCTCAAATGTGGTGGTCCAGTGTAGGTAGTATTCTACAATAAGCTGTCGTGGTTTGTGTCTGAACTACATGAAAAAGATATCTCAAACGTGGTGGTCCAGTGTAGGTAGTATTCTAAAATAAGCTGTCGTGGTTTGTGTCTGAACTACCTGAAAAAGATATCTCAAACGTGGTGGTTCAGTATAGGTAGTATTCTACAATAAGCTGTCGTGGTTTGTGTCTAAACTACCTGAAAAAGATATCTCAATCGTGGTGGTCCAGTGTAGGTAGTATTCTACAATAAGCTGTCGTGGTTTGTGTCTGAACTACATGAAAAAGATATCTCAAACTTGATGGTCAAGTGCAGGTAGTATCAGACAATAAGCTGTCGTGGTTTGTGTTTGAACTACCTGAAAAAGATATCTCAAACGTGGTGGTCCAGTGTAGGTAGTATTCTAGAACTCCCACTTTTGAGATTGTTTCCAGATAACGGCAGCTTATACTTTTAAAACGTTTTGGCTAACTCATTTCATATTAATTGCTTTCGATGCAAATTGCATCAAATAATGTAAATAAATCATTTAAAAACCAATCGATTAATTTTTATTAACATAACGGCATTATGAATATTTCTCCAAACGAAGTGTCATTCCCCATTATTGCTCGCTGTAATCAAATCGATTTGAAATGACGCAATAAGTATCTGAACAAACGTTTTCATTCGTCGAAATAAACTTACCCGGATGTGCGCAATTAAAAATTAATCGGCGCAGCTGTGTAGTCATTTCCAAAATCGTCCTAGGTAAAAATGAGCCAATCTTAAACCAATCAGAAGGAAGGAAATTCGCTAAAATGATATTACATTTAAAACCGCGTCTGGCGCATTAATGTCAAACAATCATAGCCCCTGACAGCGTTCGTGTGTTTATCTTTCGATAGAAATTGCCACAAGGCTAAAGTTTAAATTTGCGGTAAAATCTCAGCGTTTTTGTTTAACAAATTTTGAAATGCCGTTATATATTGAAAGTCAGAACGCGAGTCAGACGGGATCGGACATGGTAAGGGATTTTAGTTTGATGTAATTGGTCAGCACCGTTTCGACCAAATTGAATTGAGAGAGTTTGCATGCGAGTTTTCTCAACTCTCATGTCCCTGTCTGACAAGAAGAAGAGTTGCATGAAAGTTGATGAGTGTTGACTGGATATTACCGATCAAACGAGCAAAAACCTCCCTTGGGTCCAGGGAACGCAAGGCTTTAATTTAAAAGCATTTCTTTTTTCATTCCAGGACTTCGTGAAGTCGACGAATGTTTCCTACCAAGCTCATCATGTATCGAGATATAAGCGCGGTGAAGTACTGGGTACGAAGGCTGGGTTCCGTGGCTGTACTGTATGGCTGACTGGTAAGATGTTTGAAGAATTTAATTTCGATTCGATTGGAATTGATAGAGCTATCCAGTAAAAATAAGTTTAATTTAGTTTAGATTTTCTCGTGTAGTAACACTGGATCAATAAGAGATGATCCTTACTGGACCCCTAGGAAGAACAGTTTGGAACTGATAGAGATATCTGGTATAAATAAAGTTAGTTTAGTTTAGGTTTCCTCCTGTAGTAACACTGAATCAATAAGAGATGATCCTTACTGGACCTCTAGGAAGAACAGTTTAGAACTGATAGAGCTATCCAGTATAAATAAGTTTAGTTTAGGTTTTCTTCTGTAGTAACACTGGATCAATAAGAGATGATCCTTACTGGACCTCTAGGAACAACAGTTTAGAACTGATAGACCTATCCAGTATATCAATAAAGTTAGTTTAGTTTAGGTTTCCTCCTGTATTAACACTGGTTCAATAAGAGATGACCTTTACTAGAAAAGAACAGTTTTAAATAAAGTTTGTTTAGCAAGCAAAACTGCTCATTCATACGGCCGTGTTTTACTTAATAAACTGACGGCTCGCAGTTAAACTTTGTGGCTTGATTCTACCGCGATAGTAACGCATACTTACTAATTCATGTAAAAACAAAGATAAAATCTTTTTTGAGCAATATCGTGCTTTAATAAAAAAAAAGTTGTCGCGCACACAAGCAAATAAATCAATCAAAATTTAAGATAGACAAGCAATCAAATTGTGAAGGAAACGTTATATTTGTCCCAAGACGGGATTAAGGAGACCTTTTGTATTGAATGGCTCTATCAGTTTTAATGTTTTGTCTCCACTGACCTCAATAGACAATTCTCATTATAGACTAATTTTAAAACTAGGCAAGGAGATGCAATAACTCACCACAGCTATAAAGAGCATAGTAAAATTACAAAGTCTGGTTGCGAAATGTTGTAAAATGCGGAAAATATAGCCTTGCAAAGTTTGCAAATTTTGTATACTTTTGTATTGCGTGCGGAAATTGTTACCATTTTCAGCCCAGCAATTTTCGCACGCAATACAAAAGTATACAAAATTTGCAAATTTTCCAAGGCTATATTTTCCGAATTTTACAACATTTCGCAACCAAACTTTGTAATTTCACTAATTTTAGTATGATCTTTCTAGCTGTGATGATTTATTTGCATCTCCTTGCCTAGTTTTAAAATTAGTCTATAATGGCAATTGTCTATTCCATCTTTTTTGTCCAATTAAAACCTGTGGTGGAAGCTGGAAGCACTCTTCTGGCTTCAAATCCCAGACAAAAATCTATCGATTCTTACTTAAATTTTCCTTCCCAAATTCCCCAGGTTTATCAGGAGCGGGCAAGACATCAATCTCTATGGGTCTGGAAGACTACTTGTGTCGCCACGGCATACCTACATACACACTGGACGGCGATAACATGAGAACTGGTCTCAACAAGAATTTGGGTTTCTCCCCTGAAGATCGAGATGAGAATATTAGGAGAGTAGGAGAGGTGGCTAAGCTGTTTGCTGACTCGGGAATGATCTGCTTGACTGCATTTATCAGTCCTTATAAACGGGTGAGTGCGCGCTTGTTGATATGTCAATCGGTTGCTTGATTAGTCGGTTGATCATTTGGTTTGTTTGGTCTGTCAGATTGAAACGCAAGAACTCCCTTTACAAATGCCAGAACTCCCTTTTCAAATGCCAGAACTCCCTTTTGAAATGCCAGAACTCCCTTTTCAAATGGCAGAACTCCCTTTTCAAATGCCTGAACTCCCTTTTCAAACGCAAAAACTCCCTTTGCAAATGCCAGAACTCCGTTTTCAAACGCAAGAACTCCCTTTACAAATGCCAGAAATCCCTTTTCAAGTGCCAGAATTCCTTTTTCAAATGGCAGAACTCCCTTTTCAGATGCCTGAACTCCCTTTTCAAACGCAAAACTCCCTTTGCAAATGCAAGAACTCCCTTTTCAAATGCCAGAACTCCCTTTTCAAATGCCAGAACTCCGTTTTCAAACGCAAGAACTCCCTTTACAAATGCCAGAACTCCCTTTACAAATGCCAGAACTCCCTTTTCAAATGCCAGAACTCCCTTTACAAATGCCAGAACTCCCTTTTCAAATGCAAGAACTCCCTTTTCAAATGCCAGAACTCCCTTTTCAAATGACTCCGTTTTCAAACGCAAGAACTCCCTTTACAAATGCCAGAACTCCCTTTTCAAATGCCAGAAATCCCTTTTCAAATGGCAGAACTTGGTTTTCAAACGCCAGAATTCCGTTTTCGATCATTCAGTCTGTCTATTTTATCGGTTGCTCAGTCCAAGGGTTGTTCCGTCAGTGAGCCAGTCAATAATGGAAGCAGGGCAGCAGTTGGTGCTGAACCTCACAAATGTTGACACTTATTGCAACAAAAAAACTAAATGTTTTAAATGTTAATTTTATTAATTTAAATATACCACCATTTACAAGGCTACTACATATAATTTCTCACTCTGATAATTGCAGGTTGACCACGATAGTGTTTATTGAAACCTTGGCTATTCACTATAAACCTTGGCTTTTAAATGTATCTTTATTTCAGCTTCGTAAGCGCGCTCGCGAAGTTCATCAGGAAGCCAACCTCCCGTTCTTTGAATTGTTCGTCGACACTCCCCTGTCAATCTGCGAGGAACGTGACGTCAAAGGATTGTACAAGAAAGCACGTGCTGGACAAATCAAAGGTGAGACGATTCGGCCACTGAACTCACTAGTTAACTGTGGAAATATCTTCAGTTTAGAACTGATAGAGCTATCCAGTATATAAATAAAGTCAGTTTAGTTTAGGTTTCCTCCTGTAGTAACACTGGATCAATAATAGATGATTCTTACTGCACCTCTAGGAAGAACAGTTTAGAACTGATAGAGCTATCCGGTATAAATAAAGTTAGTGTAGTTTAGGTTTCCTCCTGTAATAACACTGGATCAATAAGAGATGATCCTTACTGGACCTCTAGGGCGAACAGTTTAGAACTGATAGAGCTATCCAGTATAAATGAAGTTAGTTTTGTTTAGGGGTTTCCTCCTGTAGTAACACTGGATCAATAAGAGATGATCCTTACTGGACCTCTAGGGCGAACAGTTTAGAACTGATAGAGCTATCCAGTATAAATAAAGTTAGTTTAGTTTAGCTTTCCTCCTGTAGTAACACTGGATCAATAAGAGATGAGAGTTTAGAACTGATAGAGCTATCTAGTATAAATATAGTTTTAAATATTTTTGAAATCTTTTTTCAGGCTTTACCGGTATTGATGCGCCGTTCGAGCCACCCGAACAACCCGATCTTGTTCTAAAAGCTGGAGAGACTTCAGTGAATGAGTGCGTACAAGAAATCGTGGATCTTCTTACTGAAAATGTAAGGATTACGGATATTGATTTTAATCTCGGTTGCTTAGGGTAAGGTTTTCCTGTTGACCCAAAGCCAGGAGGTTATTTAATTCGCTGTTGTTATTTAATTCATCCGAGCCAGAGGCTCATAATGGCTCATGATGCAGTATATGCATGATATTTACTATAGTTTAGTTAATTATTGTCCTTAATTCTTTTCTATAATTTCTACACGGCCTTATGAAAAGCAAACATTTTAATTATTTGAAACTTTATCAGAATACAGTGAAAACACTATACTTTTAATAGATGTAGGTTGAGAAGCTACCGTTTATAAAGAATTTTAAATGATAATAATAATAATAATAATTACCACAACTCTACTTACATGAGATTTCAAACGCAGGGAAGTTCTCCACTTACGTACTATGAAATACCTTATTCTCGACGTACAGCAGCAGGCTTAGCTCAGCGGTAAAGGACAACGCGATAGGTTAACTTCAAGGTTTAACTTTGTTTGATATGAATTTTGTTATTTTTAGGGGATATTACCCAGTACTGTTGTCCAGGCAGTACAAGAGTTGTTTATTCCTCAAAATGAGGTCGAAATGAAGCTCAAGGAAGCGGCAACTTTGCCTACGGTGAAACTAACGAAGGTAAGATATCTAATCTATCTTCATCTGTCTGTACCAGTGTAGTTATATATAGACTTGCTCCAAGTCTCTCTTTCATTGTCTTATCGATCCACTATAGTGTACATTACATGACGTAGCACGGAGAGGCGGAGCGAGAAAGAGAGACTTGTCAACTTCGGAAAATCTCGGTTCAAAACTGAACCGAAAATGCTAGACTTGCTTTAATTGTTTTCCTTCAATTTCTTTCCGTATTACAGCCATTTTCGTCCAAGCACAAACCGCAAACATTTTCGCGCGTTTGTTTACGTTTGAAACGGGGCGTTTACCGTTGGAAACTGAAATGTTTCACCGCTCATGTGACGTGTCACATTGAAAAGCCTTAAGCTATTTTTGGCGCAACTATCATGTTTTGATGTGCCTCCGTGCACGTTTCAATATTTCCAAGCCCATGATAATACGTTTTAGTCACAAAAAGTATGAATATAAACAAGTTTGGTCGCTCTTACAATATCGTGAGCTTGGAAATACTGAAAAGTACACGAAAGCACATCAAAACATGAAAAATAACTGAATTAGGCTTTTCACAATAACACGTCACATGAGCAGTGAAACATGTCCGTTTCCAACGGTAAACGCCACGTTTCAAACGTAAACAAACGCGCGAAAATGTTTGCGGTTTGTGCTTGGACGAAAATTGCTGTATTTACTGTAATGGAACTCATGTTATAGTTCGTTGCAAACTTGCCAATTACGTTTCCAAGTTCGGAAATTGGGCGCGAACGTCGCAACAAAGTTCACAAGTACATTTTCAATGTTTGAAGTATTTGTAAACAAATGTTCATAGTTCAAGTTGAAATTAACAATGCGATGGAAAGTTCTTGGTCAAGTGGGCTACCAAAAAGGTTTGTATTCCATTGTGATTGAATTGGTTATGATTATTGAGCATGAACATTTGTTTACAAACGAAGTTCAAATATTGAAATGAACTTGCGAACTTTGTCGCGAAGTTCGCGCCCAATTTCTGAACTTGGAAACGTAATTGGCAAGTTCGCAACGAACTTGGGAACCGCGCATTGAAAAGTGACTTGAAATCTGGGCGCTTATATAATCTTATCTTGTATTATATTATATAATCTTATCTTATATTAACCTTATATTATATAAGTGCCCTGCTTGAAATCGACAATAATCTGAAGCTTTCTTACGAAAAGACTTACAGTAGCCGAGATACGAAGCTCTGCAAACTTTAAAACGTCTGTAGTGAGCAACGATTTTAGGTTGAGACGCCATCACCGTGCATAAATCTTTTGGAATTTGACTTATTCATACACGATTTAAATTAATTTGTATTTTTTAGCTTGATCTTCAATGGGTTCAAGTACTTTCAGAAGGCTGGGCCACTCCTTTATCTGGTTTTATGAAGGAGAATGAATACTTACAGTGTCTGCATTTTGGCGTTTTAGTTCAAGGTAAACTGAACTAATTTTATGAATTGGATAGCTCTATCAATTCTAAACTGTTCTTCCTAGAGGTCCAGTAAGGATCATCTTTTATTAATCCAGTGTTACTACAGGAGGAAACCTAAACTAAACTAACTTTATTTATACTGGATAGCTCTATCAGTTCTAAACTGTTCTTCCTAGAGGTCCAGTAAGCGTCATCTCTTATTGATCCAGTGTTACTACAGGAGGAAACCTAAGCTAAACTAACTTTATTTATACTGGATAGCTCTATCAGTTCTAAACTGTTCTCCCTAGAGGTCCAGTAAGGATCATCTCTCATTGATCCAGTGTTACTACAGGAGGAAACCTAAACGAAACTAACTTTATTTATACTGGATAGCTCTATCAGTTCTAAACTGTTCTCCCTAGAGGTCCAGTAAGGATCATCTCTTATTGATCCAGTGTTACTACAGGAGGAAACCTAAACTAAACTAACTTTTTTTTATACTGGATAGCTCTATCAGTTCTAAACTGTTCTCCCTAGAGGTCCAGTAAGAATCATCTCTTATTGATCCAGTGTTACTACAGGAGGAAACCTAAACTAAACTAACTTTATTTATACTGGATAGCTCTATCAGTTCTGAACTGTTCTTCCTAGAGGTCCAGTAAGAATCATCTCTTATTGATCCAGTGTTACTACAGGAGGAAACCTAAACTATAAACTAACTTTATTTATACTGGATAGTTCTATCAGTTCTAAACTGTTCTTCCTGAAGGTCCAGTAAGAATCATCTCTTATTGATCCAGTGTTACTACAGGAGGAAACCTAAACTAAACTAACTTTATTTATACTGCATAGCTCTATCAGTTCTAAACTGTTCTTCCTAGAGGTCCAGTAAGGATCATTTCTTATTGATCCAGTGTTTCTACAGGAGGAAACCTAAACTAAACTAACTTTATTTATACTGCATAGCTCTATCAGTTCTAAACTGTTCTTCCTAGAGGTCCAGTAAGAGTCATCTTTTATTGATCCAGTGTTACTACAGGAGGAAACCTAAACTAAACTAACTTTATTTATACTGGATAGCTCTATCAGTTCTAAACTGTTCTTCCTAGAGGTCCAGTAAGGGTCATCTCGTATTGATCCAGTGTTACTACAGGAAGAAACCTAAACTAAACTAACTTTATTTATACTGGATAGCTCTATCAGTTCTAAACTGTTCTTCTTAGAGGTGCAGTAAGCGTCATCTCTTATTGATCCAGTGTTACTACAGGAAGAAACCTAAACTAAACTAACTTTATTTATACTGGATAGCTCTATCAGTTCTAAACTGTTCTTCTTAGAGGTCCAGTAAGGGTCTTTACACAGCTTTCATATTTGACCAACGATTTTTAGAGGGGGTATCCAACCAGACGATACCTATAGTATTACCAATAACCACTGAGGATAAGGAGAAACTTGAGGGATCTTCAGCACTTAACCTCACATACAACGGCAAATCCATTGCTATCCTACGAGATCCTGAGTTTTACACACATCGCAAAGACGAAAGAGCGTGCCGACAGTGGGGCGTGTATACGAAAGAACATCCTTATATCAAGGTAAGGACGATGATATCTCAAACGTGGCGGTCCAGTGTAGGTAGTATTCTACAATAAGCTGTCGTGGTTTGTGTGTGAACTACCTGAAAAGGATTTATAAAATAACATGTATATAACGCGTGCTCTGATTGGTCGAAACCCGTGTTTGGATCAGGCCATCCAAACACGGAAGACTATCGTGTTGTTGTTATTTTATAAAACAATTACTTTATGGTTTCCGTGTTTGGATGGACTGATCCAAACACTTGGGAATGTTGCTCGAGTTAAGAAAAGCTCGCTTTTCTTAACTCTCGCAACATTCCCGCGTGTTTGGATCAGGCCATCCAAACACGGAAACCATAAAGTAATTGTATA